CTATATCGGTAGGCTTCTGTTTGCATTACTTCATGATTTAATAACTAATGAATGAAAGACTGAAAAATATTGATTTAAGCTATGAAATCTTATATTTCGAAACAAAGAGCAAAAAACAATATTTTCTTCAGCATGTTTAAAGTTTAAACTAGTATTTAAGAGGGAGATCTCTAAACTACAAAACACCAGAATATTTTCGGACAAATATGCATTACAAACAACATTGAAATCATATATGGCCCATTTTAAAAGCATGACAACACTAGTATCATACTAGTATTCAGTTTAATCTTCTGCAACTGAATAGTGTCTTAAATGTGCACTAATATTGTCGGTTTTGTTGCATTTCAGGAGGAACAAAAATCTAATAAAGGAGCTAAGCACACCTCCTGAAGGTTCAAGCGACCTATCCTTTCCAACCCAATACTCACAAACTTTCCTCACACAGTGTTTTGCTTGCCTGTGGAAGCAAAGCCTGTCATACTGGAGAAACCCTCCATACACAGCTGTCAAGTACTTCTATACTACAGTTATTGCACTGTTGTTTGGGACAATGTTCTGGGGCATTGGCAAAAAAAGGTAAGATAATATGTAACAAAAGAAAGTACAAAATAATACATGGTATTTGTTGAGGAGATTACATATGGTTCTTACCTTCAAAATTCACTAGAAACATTTTACTCTTGCAGACACAATCAACAGGACTTGTTCAATGCCATGGGTTCCATGTATTCCTCAGTTTTGTTCATGGGGGTGCAGAACTCTGCCTCAGTTCAGCCAGTTGTGGCTGTTGAGCGCACGGTCTTTTACAGGGAAAGAGCGGCTCACATGTACTCACCTTTGCCATATGCATTGGGACAGGTAAATTTACTTTGCATTAACTTTCGTCTGTAATTATTTTATATGCCAAGTAAAAACAAGACTAGGGAGCTCAACAAACAGATGGCATCACATTCTCACGTAGAGCATAATAAACAGATGCAAACGAGGCTTCATAAAAGGTTTCAGATAATATTGAATTACAGCCAGAAAAGATGGTACAGATAGTTAAAACAAATCCCCTAAGTGGAAAGCAACGGTAAGACAATAAGAGCCCTAACATCCTTCCCTTTGCAGGTTGCAATTGAACTTCCATACATCTTTGTCCAGTCCTTGATATATGGTGTGCTAGTATATGCTATGATTGGGTTCGAGTGGACAGCTGTCAAATTCTTTTGGTACCTGTTCTTCATGTACTTCACTCTAGCTTACTTCACATTTTACGGAATGATGTCGGTGGGCCTGACCCCAAACTACAACGTTGCCTCTGTTGCTTCCACGGCATTCTATGCTCTTTGGAACCTTTTCTCAGGATTTATTACACCAAGAACTGTAAGTATACTATTTGCTCTCAATGTTTTAACTTCCTATACTTCCACCTCTATAACCAATAACCAAATTTTGCTCCTTCTTTTCCTAATACTATGCAAGCTCTTATGCAAAAAGTAATATTATGTGAACTGGCTACTTTCCTCTACAGAGAATCCCGATATGGTGGAGGTGGTACTACTGGCTCAGCCCTATTGCATGGACACTGAATGGTCTGGTCACTTCACAGTTTGGAGACGTAACCGAAAAGTTTGATAATGGCGTGCGGGTATCCGATTTTGTAGAAAGCTATTTTGGGTACCATCATGACTTCCTGTGGGTGGTCGCTGTGGTGGTCGTCTCATTCGCTCTTCTCTTTGCTTTCCTATTCGGGCTCTCAATCAAGCTATTCAACTTCCAGAAGAGATGAGTGATCAATGAAGAACATATCCAAGTTTGACCAAAGCCCACTAAGCAGAGATAGTACAATAAGACTACGTCCTTGTAATTGTATTGGATACATGTGAATAGTAGCATAGCATATATTTTGAGAGCACAGTGCCCAGATCGAATGTATAGTGACAGTGCACATTGTGCCCAGTGCCCTAGGAGTACAGTTTTGCAAGTTGTATAAATCAAGTAATTTGCCACACCGTCGATTTGCTTAACACATTTGGAGCTCTCACAAAACAAAACGGTGGCATGCTGCACTCAAAATTTACACAACCGAACTGATGCGGATGCCGGAATTCGCACAGGATGTCAGGAATCGTGGGGGGGAACCATACACGAATTCAATTTATGAACCTTCTGAATAACTGATTGCACCGAAATGCGAGTACCAATTGGACTATTATAAGAACTCGATCCACGCGGAGGGCAAAGTCGCGCCCACTATTTCTCAGCGCAGAAAGTGCGCAAGGCGTCGCGAAGAGGCGAAACCTACTCCCTCCGTCCGGAAATACTTGTCATCAAAATGAATAAAAGGGAATGTATCTAGATGTATTTTAGTTCTAGATACATTCTTTTTTGTTTATTTTAATGACAAGTATTTTCGGACGGAGGGAGTATAAGACAGAGCAGAACGGGCAGATAGTGGAAAGGGCTACTCACCAGCGTGAAGTGGCGATCGACGGACGCCATGGAGCCCCGGCGGTGCTCGACGGAATGCTCACGAGAAAAGGTTTTTTTTTTCCAGAAACCGAGAAGGAGATTTCTCGGGCTTCGAAAGAGGTGGCCAAACGGGCCGGCCTGGCCCATGGTAATCGTGCCTGGCAGTGCGGCCGGCCCTGCCTCACCTCAAACCTCGGCCCATTCTGTACCGGCGTTTTTGAGCTCGCCCTTAAATGCACTACAACACACCTACAACTTTGAATCCCCTCAAAAAAGAAAAAAAGTACAACTTTGAATCCATTTCTCAACAACAACAACAACAACAAAAAAGTCTAAAAAATACATATTGTACTGCCCAAACTATTTCATGTGTCAAAGCTTTTTTTTTACTGTGAATGTGTCAAAGCTTATTTGGGAGAAGATTTCTTAATTTACAAAGCATTTGTTAGGCCGGTCGACACATTAGCCCGCATGCCCGGCCCATGGTGGGCCTGGCCCGACACGTATATAATCGGGTCGCGCCGGCATATGGTCTGTGTCGGCCATGATGTTGGGCACGCGTGCCGGGACGACACGACCCGTTTAGATTTTTTATGCAGCCCAATAGGTTGAATATAGGCCCTAAACAACCCAATAGTTGAATCCTATATGGACCAGCTAAATATACCATTAGGCCGGCCCATTTACTAAGGGGGTCGTGCCTGGGCTGGCGGTACAACATGCGGGCCGACACGGTACGTCCCACCATGGGTCGTATCGTGCCTCATGCGTTTTAGCCCAGGCCAGGCTGGGCAGTGCTGTGGTGGCCATCTGGCCAGGTCTAGTCATAATCAAGGTTTAAAGTGGATCTTTTTGCTCTTTGGGAGGAAAAATGGAGCTTTTTTCTCAAATGATGCAGAGGTGAAGGAGATCAAATATCAAGTTTATTCACGAGCTTGGAGAATTATATTTTGAGGCTCACGACTTGTAAGTCTCTCAGATACCGCTGTCTTCCTTTACTGAAAGTAATTTTGTGGTTTTTGATGAAACTCCATGGGAACTATGTCAAAGATGCCAATATACCCCAAATGTTTCACCTACATGTTGTCGACTGTTTGGCTTGTCCCAGAGAGTGAAGTCAGAGTTGTATCGTTGCGAGGTGACACGGCGGCAATGATGTCGTGCGATGGGCAGGTCGGACTATGTTGGTGCAAGGCATGTTACTTTCTCCTATGAGATTGATCATCGAAGTCGGACCTGCCTAGTCCTTGATGCGTTTGGCTGGCTATTTGGCATGGGCTGACGGAGTTCTCAAGTGTCATTCTTTCGGAAGGCTCATGATGGGGCGTTTGCAATGAAGTCGGAGTCGCTTGCTTGAGGAGAGATAATGGTGATGACATTACATGCAATTTCGACGGTGTCCTCTCATCAACGGTGTGTGTGAGTCTGGTGGGTAGCAATGTTGGCTGGGATGCATTTTCTATGGACGTGTTGTAACAGTTTTTGGCCAAATTTATGCAAATTAACAGGATCATTCTCTTTTAACTTTTTTTTTAATGAATCGAGTCCCAAAAGGACCTTGTTTAAAAAAAAGACAAGCAGGCCGAACGTCACTATACATGTCTCCAAAACCGTGGTCACGATTGGCTGTACATGCATGATCCTTCAGGTAGGAACGGTGGAGCGCAGCTTGCACTACTGACGTACTCCCTCTGTAAACTAATATAAGAGTGTTTAGATAACTAAAGTAGTGATCTAAACGCTCTTATATTAGTTTACGGAGGGAGTACGTAACAAGCAGCATCCAGAAGGGCAACGTGTCCGACGTTGTTCTCAATCCTCTACGCCATGACGTACGTCAATCAACCCAATAATTTCTCTCACTGATTTACCAGCCGATCGCGATCAACAATTATCGGCGTGTAGCAGCAGCTCACTCGGCTTGAAATAATGCGGGATTGGGCTCGAAAACCTCTTAGAGAAAATTGAGCCCCAAAAAGGGGACGTGCAAGCGCACCCCGCGCAGCATGTCTCGGTTTTGTGGCCCCAAAACCGATTTAGCTGCTGATGCGTTGCTGTTGAGTTGAATGTACAGATTTGGACGTCTCAACAAACCAATCGATTGATAAAGGCTGGCACGAAACCTCGCTAGCCTGCCCACGATGGCTTGCTGAATGGTGAGGGCAAAGAGAAAGCGCCTTTCTGTATCCCTCAGAGGGGAAACTGTACAGTGAAGAAAGCAGGAAATGCGCCGCACGCTCGCTTCAGAAAATTACAGACTTTGAACAGACACTGTTCAAAGTTCAGACTATATATAAGCATTAAAGTAACGGTAGCCTTCAAAATTACTCCGTCTGTCCCAAAATATAAGGGAGTACGTACTCTGTAGTCTATATGCTTGACAACAGTGTATTATCTATGAGTAAGAACAGTAACAGTAGCCTTCTCTACGAGCTTATAGCTACAAAAACTCAAAAGTCAAAACAACATTGCAATTAACGAGAGCAAACACTTCGTAGCAACTAATCAACACACCTTGCTTAACAAACAGACAAGGTACTCTACGGCGCCCGAAGAAGAATCGCTAAACACAGTTGGAGCAGCAGGGTGACCATGCACGTTGTCCTCCGGTGCACCGCCGGTGGCGAGGACGCCGACGCGGTCGACCCCGTGATCGGGTTGTCGTGCTGGTAGTACCACGGGAACCACGGCAGGACCGGGTTCGGCGGCGGAGGAGCCGGCCCGGCCTGGACGGCGCTGAACGGCGGCGCGAGGAACCCCGGCATGACCCCGGGCGGGGTCAGCTGGAAGCCCCCTGCCGGAGGTGGCGGGTAGCTGCCGCCGAAGCCGTCGCCGGCACCGCCACCTGTTCCCGTTCCAGTCCCTGCTGGTGGCGGTGGCGGGTAGCTGTTGATGACGCCTCCTGAGGTTGGTGGCGGGAGGCACGGGTATGGGCAGTCGGCCGGCGTGTCCGCCACCGCCATGGCGGCGAGCATGGTGATCACGGCGACGAAGAGGGTGATCACGAAGGATCTAGGCATGGTTGCGTACGTGTGTGTGTGTGGACTCTGGAGTCTGCGAGAGAAAGATCGAGAGGAAGAGAGAGCGCACTGAATATTTGATACTGGTTGGTGCGGCGCTCTGGTCACACCGAGATGGCCCTTTTGGGGTTTTGGTTTACAGGGACACCTGATAGTCTGATACTACTTTATTTTTTGAGCGATGATAGTCTGATAGTACTACTAAACGAGCTGCTGGTGTGTCCGACGAACAGCAATCATTCACTTGCTACGGGGGATCTACCGTAAGCGCGAGGGAGAAAATGTGACCAATGATGCGGCGCAGTGGTTGAACCCAGATGGCGTGCGAGATAGGTATGACCCCACAGCGTGCGGGAGAGGATGCACGTTTTAGCGCCAAGAGAGTTTACATACAAACATTGAGTAGCAAAATGCACACAATCACCACATTTGTGCTATGATTAGCTAAAACCTATCACTTTACGAACTGCATCGAATTTTTGACAGTGACAAAAAAACACTGAGCTACTTTCTAAGCACGTTTTGACGTGGTTGATCCCTCTCGGGCCGACATCGGCGACGACACGTCGTTGACTGCTTTGTCAGAAGCGGCTGGGTCGGAATGAACCCGAGCGTGCTCTCTCACTCGCACTCTCCCCTCCCACCTCGATCTCCCTCATTTCTCTCGCAGGGCATGGCGACGGCGGGATCTATCGAAGGCGGCATCAGATCCATCGGCGATGGCGGGGTGGGGACAGATCATGAAGCACAGATGGGGGCGGATGGCGGTGTTGCGGGGTGGACACGCGGCGAGGAGGAAGATTGCTGCGGCAACAACCTATTCCATTCATCGCTGCCACTGCCAGCATCAATGGATGTCGCCTGCAGTGTGGTGGAGGAGCCACCCACTCCAATGTGCCCCCCCCCACCACGTGAACTGCATTCCCCTCTATAGCTCTCCCCTCTCTTTATATCCATTTCATTGCTGCAATTTAGGGTTTCAGATTTGGAATGTAGGTTCAGAATATATTAACAATTGGTCATGTTATCATAAATACTACTTGTTAGCTGATTGATACTAGTTTTTGCATGTTTCTATATTAACTGGATGTTGTTGTTCTGTTTGACTAAATGTACTAAAGTACTGAATTTACTGAATGTTATTGTCCTGTTTGACTGAATTTAGGGTTTTGAAAATAGGTGTTTAGTCTGTCCGAAATTTTTTAGTTTCTGAATGATGCTTTGGAATGAGTACTCATTTAGAAATGTTGATGCAACATTGATCTCCAATTGGTAACTGGACATTTTTATACTTTTCATTTGTAGTATGGATCATGCTGACATTTGGAATGCGAGTTTCCAATTCTATGGTAGGGATAACCTTGACGGGACAATGTGTAGCTCTAAAATTAAATACACCGCTCCGTAAGCTATTATGGATTTGGAGGGCTTTGGAAGTACAAATTACATTTATTATGTGAAGTAAGAGGGAACTAACAAATCAGGTTCACAGTTGCTTGACAATAATGCAATGATTGAGGAAATGCTCAAACTGTTTGAGCACAGTAAATGTGCTTAAAGGAGATGCCCCAACACGACATGATGTAAACAGAGCGTCACAAATATGTGAGGAGAATATCCCCATCAGTACCATAGGGGAGCCTGTTGTATATGTAGCTGACAACCAAGGGGTTTTGAACACATAGCAGGGCAATAATATCCAGAGTAAGGACAAGTTTCTTTTGGAGTCTAAATACGATGAGGATGAAAGTGAAGATGATGAAGAAGAAAGGGATTTCAGTGCTGATTTTATTTGGCTACCTGAGTTTGGATGCGATCCTAGACCATTGGGTGTTGATGAAGAAGAGATTGAATTACTTCATAGATTGGAGCAACTGAAGTTGCAGAGAGAGGATCCTTGGTACCAATAAATGTGGAAGAGGTTTATCAGTCGAGGATGAGGAAATGGACGATTCTAAGGCCGAGTCTTCTCCTCCGAAGAAGTAGAAACAAAAGAGTGTTGACCCTTCTAGCAGAGCTCGCCATGAAGAAGAAATTCTTCCCTTTCATGTCTGGGTGCCTTCCAATGATGAATTGAGCAATTTTTCTGAGGTTAATGATAATGATTATTATGGTGTTGTCAAAAGGAATATAGTTTTATGTGGCAAGAGGGAAAGAAGGCCTAGCAAGAAAGAAGACATGATTTGGTATGAAGAGAAAGCAGAAAACCCTCAGGAGCAGTTATGTGAGCACGTATGTTTTGAAAATGTGTACCAGTTCAAAAGAGCTCTAAGACAATGCCAAGTAGTTCAGTTGAGGAGCTACACTTATTGGAGGAATTGCAAAGACAAGGTAATTATTTATTGCAAAGTGGTTGAATGCCCCTTTATGATGACAACTTCACAAGTCAAGAATGAGAAGACATTTGTTATCAGAAAATTGAGAATGCCACATACATGTCCTGCAAATAGTGAGAACACAAAAGTTACAACAGATTAGGTCGCCAAGGAATTTGAGCATGCAATTAGAACAGATCCTAGGACAAAGGTTGACACAATTTTTAAAAATGCAAAGGAGAAGTATGAGGTGGAAATACCCAAGACCAAGGCCAGGAAAAAGGCTTTGGAAGTTGTTGGATGAGATGTTAAAGCACAGTACACCAGATCCAGAGACTATTTGCAGGCAGTTTTAGACATAAATCCTGGCAGCAGGTGTACTATGACAACAAGAAACATACCAGAACATCCAAGCACCAACCGTAGGTTCCATATGATGTTTATGTGCCTCAATGCATCTAGGGAAGGCTTTCTCGATGGTTGTATGTCATTCATAGGTATTTTCTAGTGCACCTTTGTCTATCCTTTTGTTTTGCATTTCACTTGTCGCAAATGATTGGTTATTTGATGTAGGTGTGGATGGATGTTTCATAAAGCCAAGTTGTGGCCAGCAAATCCTCGCAGTAACAGGTAGAGACGGAAATAACAATCTCTTTCCAATTGCATTTGGTGTGGTTGAAAAGGAAGATACCCCATCCTGGAGCCGGTTCTTGTATCAGTTGAAGCAATCCATTGGAGAGGATAATAAATTTGTCACTTATACTTTCATTTCTGTTAGGCAGAAGGTTAGTCCACAAGTTAGACTTTGTACTCATTTAGAAATGTTTACATATTTATTTATCTAAACTATCACATTACTTAGGATAATTACATATTTATTTCCTCAGGGCTTGCTAGATGCTATTGGGCAAAATTTCCCAAATTCTCCCATAGGTACTTGTTGGGAATCGTTGCATGGAAAACAAAAAAAATTCTACGCACACATAATGATCTATCCATGGAGATGCATAGCAATGAGGGGGAGAGTGTGTCTACGTACCCTCGTAGACCATAAGCGGAAGTGTTTCACAATGCGGTTGATGTAGTCGAACTTATTCTCACATCAACCGATCAAGTACCGAACGCATGACACCTTCGCGTTCTGCACACATTCAGCTCGATGACGCCCCTCGCCTTCTTGATCCAGCAAGACATCGAGGTAGTAGATGAGTTCTGTCAGCACGACGACATGGTGACGGTGATGGTGAAGTGATCTCCGCAGGGCTTCGCCTAAGCACGACGAAAAAATG